AGCTGACAGTCAGCCTCAGATTTCGGCACAGCGAGAGCCTCAGAAGCCAGCCATCCAAACTTCGGTGGAGCCTCCTGAAAGTGTTGTGACTGGAGAGAGTGTGACTGGGAAGGTAGTGGAGGAGTACCGCTATGATTCTGGTAAGCCAGATGAACGAGTGAGTGGCGAGCAACCTGCTGAAGGTGGCGGCGATTTCATGAAGCCAGCAGCATCATCGGTGTATGCAACGATTCCAAGCGTTTTAGCCCAACAACCAGCAGCAGCATCTACCACGACAGTAGAGACCACGGTGAAATTGCAACCGCACATTCCTTCCCGTGAGCATGCTCCAGTCCAAGCGGAGAGCGTGCAAACGCAAGAGTTCATCTCACAAGAAACGATGGGTAATTTAGAACCAAAGAAATTAATCGAAGAAACAGTCAGACCGAAAGACGATCAGTACGCTGAAGAACCGAATAAAGTGAAAGATCTAGAGGGATTGGCTAAAAAAGAAGCAGAAGAGTTGCAGAAACTGTTCGAAGAGTATCAAATTATTGCAGAAAAACCTGCAGAACCAGCGTCGTATTCGAAACCAATGCCAGTAGCAGAGTACGCGCAGCTGCACCAAACCCCACAGCAACAAATCAAAACAATTCCACCGGAACATCCACCCTTTCCATCAGCTTCATTTGAACAAGAATCACCACTCAAGGATAGCACCTATCAACCCGGACAAGTACCAGTTCCTCAACAACAACCAGAAGAGTTGCCTTCGCAACCGATTCAGAGCACTAATTTAGCCACTGAACATGATCAACCTGGTCAACATCGGGTTCGTAGCGATCGCCCCGGAAGAATTTTGGGTATTCGAGTCGAGAAACCAGAATATGAGGAGGCAAAAGTGAAGCGCTTCGTTGAAACGGTGCAAACTCCGGAAGAATTCGAGTACAGTCGTTCTCATCCAGTTAGGGTGGGAGAACATTTAGGAGCAAAAGTGAGCGAAACAGATCAACAGCGATCTAAAGATGAAGCATTGGAACGTCAACGCGATCAACAGGAAACTGCGGCAGCAACAGCAGCAATTGAGTTGGCATCCGATGAAATGAAGCGATTAGCTGAAGTGGACATATACGTTCAGGATGCAATGGACTACGTGAGTGCTCAACGACAAGAACAAGACGAAATGTATCGTGCCCAGTATCCTCTACCAGAAGGTCAACAAGCCGCACAAGCCGGCTCACGAATGGACACCATTTCTGGCTTCGTGATCGAAGAAGAGATGTTAGAGAGTGTCGGACGTAGTGGGGGACATCAACTACCACTTAGTGGCCTTCAAAAACAAGCACAACAATTACAAAAGAAACCTGAAGATGGTCGTGTTTCCGAGCGTGAACGTGAGGATGTTCATGAGCACGAGCCTGAGCATGGTCGAGATCGGGATCGGGAAAAAGCTCGAGAAGTGGATCGTGAGCATGATAGGGAACAAGAACGAGGGCATCTGAAAGCAACGTTTAGCAATGAACAAATATCTGGTGAAGCAACCAGTGAGTTGGTTCATACAAATGAGGTTCGAACTTTATCATATTTTAGAGATCGTGATTTGTAGTTATGTAGACGTATATGTCCAGCACGCACATAATTTTTGGAACCATATAATCCCTTTTAAGAAGTAAGATGAAGTGATACTCATTAGGTGCATCTGTAACTGTATTCATTCTGCATGGAACCTGTTCAATATTTATCATAATTAATCATTAATTGATTTATACGAAACCATTAGCATACCTTTTTTATTCATTTGTTTTTTGTTTCGTTCAATTTAATCTATTGCCCGCATTTCTTTAAAATACTGAGCATAGTTATTGTCTGAGCTGTGAGTTTGGCATTGATTTGGATCACTTCATAGAGATCAATAAATCAGTCGGTAGATCAGAGCTCTAGCCGAACCTTATTAAGAAACAATTACTGACAGTCATTATTCGAGGTTCATCGGATATCTCACTCTTTTGCGAACGATGATTTTAATCAAGTTGAAAGAATATTCCGGTTTGGAGGATTTTTGATCAAGTTGGAAGAATATTTCGGTAGGATGAAGGGAATTAATAACTAGAGTTTCACCGTTTGTTATTTCGTCACATCACAATCGTTGCTTATGTCCACAGCGCACAATTTCATCCCTTAGCTTATGCATGCTCACTTGTATCGTTTAAGAATTCAAGAGACAAAAAATGGTTTAAGGAATTCGAAAAAATCGAACATATCGCTGAGCTGGATGATACGATGACATATGCACCCGAGATTCAATCAATTGAAATCCCACCGGATCGTTCCAGTGAGAACAGTGAGAATCTGCAGGAGTATTTCGATCAAGTGGCAGCCGAATGCATGGTCGGTGTGTTCAAGGTAACCAATTTGAACGACCTACCAAATTATCTCCTCAAAAAATGTCAATCATTTGAAAGATTCCACTAAATTTGATCACGTTATGAATCTCTTCTCGGATGATTTTTTGGGTTGCACTGCATGAAAATCGTTTTTCAGCAACCTCAAAAGCCGGGACGATTCCCGACCGAAGCGCCATCGGCAATTCCGACGCAGAAACTAACGGATATGACGCCCTCTATATCGTCAGCAAAAAGTTATACGTCCAGTGAAGGCGAACGTGTGAGCATCTTGCTTATCTATTGATCTC